TGTCAATCAAGATATGGGCAAGAACAGGCTTAATGATTAATCAGATGGGAGTGTGGATGTAGAATATGTATCCATGTAGTAATACTGCTTGCAAACCAATGATGATAAGATGATGTTAGGGGGTAGGACTAGATAAGTCTAACTTCTTCCTACTCCGTTCAAGCATGTACTAGGTATGAGCAAATTGAAAATATTTTTGTGGACATGTCTGGAATTATGTGTGATTACATACTGACTGTTGTTACATGTTTGAAAGAATAAATAAATCAAATCAAATCAAATCAAATAACACAATTTAAAGTAAGGACTTACCCTGAGCCTGAAGCTGGGCTGTCGTACTGAGAGAGCGCGCACCTAAGACACACAGGAAAACATTCCTTATCATTCTTAACCTTAATTACTTCACCAAACTTTAGTTGGCACAAACATCCCAAATGCTTAACAGTATACATTATAAAAATCACATAAATAGTAGCCTGAATCTACACATTTCTATATTTTTGATTAGATTAACATCTAGTGTCACGACTGAAAACTATTGCATAAACAAATTTTGGAATCTGTTAAAGAAACTGTTAACAAATAACTTACCAAACCGCACCCCCCAGGATGGCCCAACAGAACAGCTCCGCATCACGTTTAGCAACATGGAAGCCATTATGTTCTACGGTGAACAAAACTGTACTGGTTACTGCAAAGCCAAAGTAACACTTTACAAGTCATATTTAAATTGGACTGCAAAACTATCAGCTATTGAAATAAATACGGTGCATAGCACAATAAAAGTAGGCTAAATATCAGAAACTGCATTCACAGAAATGCTGACTCAACAGTTGGATCAACTTGTCACAAAAAGTTATAAAAATAATAACATGAATTAAAACTGGTCATTATCACCTTCATTTAGATGATAATTAATGCAGGAGTGCTGTGTTAGACTGCATAAGTCTTAGCTAGCAGTACCTAATAAACTGGCAACTGAGTGTATATATTCCAGTATTGTAATCTGTCTGAATTCACAATTACATTTTAATTTTATCCAGGAAGCTGCATATTCCACGGGGACTATACTGTATTAGCATTATTGTTAAGTGATGGTGCAGCCTGGACAGTGGTAGAACCACGACAGATCCTCATTTGTAGGCAAAGGTCAGTTGTCACCTGTGACTGTTTGAGTCACAGTAGATGTAATAACCCGTTAGTCCAGTGTCCCATGGCTTATTTGGATGTTTATAATGTTATGAGTATATATGTTAAATTATACAAGTGGGGTTATTTGAATACAGTTTGAATGGCATCCCGAACATATGCTTTGAAGGCCGATAAATTTACATATTAAATATAAATTGGGCTTTGAATTTAATACTGATATAAACTAATTATGAAGGAAAGGTCTGCCGGGTTAGTCTATGTTTAATTTTGTTAGATATCGCTGACGATCCAAACCCCCCTACCCTGGTTCTGACCTTTCACCTAGATTCTTGTCCTGCAGAATGACACGGACACTCATACATAATCGCGGGACTCAAACAGGATCACAACTGTCTATAAATCGTTCAAGTATTTGACTACTTAAAGCAACGTTTACACCAAATTAAAAACACATTACTGAAACCATATAACTAAATAGCACAGCCGTGACGCTGGAAGATACATACATGCTAGTAAAACTTGCTAGCTACACGTTAGCCGACCTGAACGCTTCCATCAGTTTGTGCCTGAGATGGAAAAAACGTAGTGCACCGCTTGTACCATATATTTCCTACTTCTAAATGTATAATCACTAGTTATAAGTTCTTCCACTTACCAATAACTAAGATGAACCTTACCTGTAGTTGTGTCGTCTTTGCCAACACTACGTCCCTGTCAAATGACCGGGCAGGCTCAACAGCGCTAATGAACTACAACAACCCCAAGGACCCATCAATGTGTTAGCTGACTAAAAAAATGCCTGCATAAAAAACACAGGAGACAGAATAGCTCCACATATGGCTGTTTTAGGTATCGTTTAATAATGAGACCTACGTCGAGTGAAACATGTATTTCCTCAAAAAAATATCAATTTGGTTACGTTAATGTTTTTGATAAAAACAAGGGTAAACAGTGTGCTAAACATTCAATTATGTGAAAACATTGACAGGAATGTGTATTGTTACACCAGCATCTAACTGCTGCACAGTGCTACTAGAGGTCAGACTAAAGCTTCTGCCTTGAAGTGGATTGTTTCCTTCAAACAATAAGTTGTTATTATTAATCTCCAGCTTTGGTGCCATCTAGCAGAATGCATAACCTGACTGAAGAGCGGCCTCTAGCAGTTGTCAGTTCAGTATCTGCTTTTTGGATTTTAGCTATTTTTAAAAAAAAAACATTCACATTTCATTTAGTCACAATTCAGCTGGTGACAGGCTGGTTTATGGCCAACAGTTGACAGTATGCTCAGTTGTCCTTGAGCAAGTTCAGTGATCAAGTGTATTTGTGGTGTTTATGCTAGCATTCTCCAAGGATTAACAGGGTTAAATGAGCAGAAATTAGCATAATACAGCACTGGTAGCCTTCTGACAGTCTCATCTTTTCTGAACACACATCAGCTGTGAGCTCAAGGATGATGTGGCAGTTGTAAGACTCAGTGATTCAATAGTTAAGGTTTGTGTTTATGGAAGAAAGTACAAGACAATAGACACATGTCAGGGAGAGATTATGTTTGTGATAGTCCTGACTATCTGTGCCTGTCTCAGTCTCTCCTTGACAGATATGGCACGATTAATCAGGGTGTGTTCTTTTGTGCACATGCAGGTGAATGCAGCGTCAGTGCAGATGCACGCTGAGCTGATGGAGGAGATCTGGTCAAACTGAGCTTTGTAAAGAGCTGTCTTCATCTCCAGAAAGCCTGGTTGCTTCTTTGCTGGGATAGATATCAAGTAGGTTTATTAGGGCTTGAACATTTCTTGCATATGTGGTCACTTCTACACTTGTATGTATTTTGAAACTGAGTGAAAAGGTTTTGTTTGCGTTTTTACACTCACACTTCTTAACTGCAAACAAATCAGGGTTTGTCAAGAAAGTCACACAACGCACTCAAGTCATTATATCACTGAACTGATGTGTAATTAAACAGTATGATCTCAGTATGATCCAGTCCTGTAAGAGAAGTGAGGGTGGTCAGAAGATGCTGGAGAACAGTGAAAAATCTTTCACCCCTGTTGTAGCTGCCATCCATGACTCCTGCCTGTGCAGAGGCCTCAAGGTACAACAGTGTGTGCGTATGTCAGGACAAGCCAGATTAAGTGTGTTTATGTGGACTAAGAGTTGACCACTAAGTAATGATTTTGTGTCTTCTCTGAAGTTTGTGATAGCCTGTCAGAACCAAACTACTACAAAGAGCAAACAAACAATCCTAGGGACACCCGAGGTCATGCTGGAACTGCTGCCTGGAGCGGGCAGCACTTAGAGATTACCTTAAATGGTATACATGCACACCCTCATATTAATCAGTTAATTAGTTAATGGCTTGAAAGCTCTGCTGCAGTCTTGTGCTACTCAGCTACACTGGAGTATACAAAGGTCAAGAGCCCCACTTGGGGGAATATCACAATGCCTGCAATGGCAGCCTGTTTTTGCTGCATGTGTTTGTGTGTGTAGGCAGGTCTCCCTGGAGCATGTGATATGATACTGACAGGGAGAAACATCAGGGCTACTAAAACAAAGAAGAAGGGTCTAGTGCATCAAGCTTGTGGACCCTCTGGGTCTGGTCTACGTGTGGCATTTCTTCATTGCTATATGTAAGAAAGTGCACTGTTCTACTGTTGTAATCTTCTGTGATTTGCTCCTCTGGATGAGAGCAGGAGGAAATTACTTGGGACTGATTGGGACTCTAGAGAAGGAAACAAAGTAAGAGCTATAGACAGGGTGATATTTAGTTAACAAGAATCCAAACATATTGTATGCTGTATTGGTTCAATGACAGCAGTGAGACACCTGAACACTGTGTTTTGTGTGTCAGGAGCTGTGCTTGTAGGTGTTTATATTTGTACCTTCAGTAAGATGTATTAACTTATACTGAAAGTTCATCAACTGCCGGCTGCTGGTTGTCTTTTGTAATTTATCCGTCATGAATCCTGTACATGGCTAAATGGCCATCACGCTGCCCATTTTTCTGATAACTAACAGACCTGGGATGCTGTCGTTTTTAGGTTTTTTTTCCAATGCAGTAACGGTGTATCTGGCCTTATCTGTGATAAGCCTCACAATCTGCTGTTTGTGTGTTGTTATGACTTCAGCTCCCAACAACCACAGCAAAGAAGAGGATAATTTGATTTTCAGACATCATTAAATTTCTATTTATTTTGTATTTTTTATTTTTCTTCATTGCTCTTCTTACAGTGGCCTTGCAGTTACACAATCAGAGAGTTCATTAATATTATGTGGGTGCAGTAGAGCAAGGAGGACGTGTGTGTGTGTGTGTGTATGTGTGGTGGTGGGGTCTGAGATGTCCTGAAGAACAGTTCAGTTTTGGCATCAGCCTGTCAGATCTTGGGAATATTGTGGATATTTAAAGTGGAAGATTTCAGACATCATGAGACAGCAGGTTGTATAGCAACAAGAGACCCACAAGAACAAATAAACAATTTTACTTTAACATTTAGAACAACACAACTGCATGTTCACAGTTATCTGGCTGACTTGGATGATCTTGCTTCCTTTACTCTGTAAAGAGGCTACAGTCCATGGTTATATAACATCACTACCTGAATGGAGGTATGGTTTATATCCCTAATTAAGAAGGACATGTACTGTATGTAGAATTCACAGAGCACAAGTAGCTGGAGGAAAACATCAGCCTTTGTTTGCTGACATCTGGATTCATTCAGAAGCAACAATTTTTAGTCCTGGAAAACACCTGGTTGTTTTGTTGCTCTCTAACTGGAGAGACTGGAGGTTTTGTCTGTGTATGTTCAGCCACAACAGATCAATAATAATTCACAAGATTATAATTGATCACTTCTCATTTTGTAACAGTTTTCTCTGGGAAGGATCTGGAGGTAATTATGCAGCAAAGGAAATTTTAAAAAGTAGGGCTACGACTAAATATAATTTTCATTATTGATTTATCTGCTAAAGAAAATAGTGAAAAATGTCTATCAGTTTAGAAAGTGAACTTTAAAAGGGAAACGTTCATATTAAATGATTCCTCTATCATTCAGTAACTTGACAATTATAGTACAACAGTTGTTTTAATATTTAATGCAACACTTTATAATGATATCATCTGTTATGGGACTGTGGATCTTACAGCAAACTTTCCTATGCTGTATGTTAATACTGCATCTATTTCTTTCAAGTCATCAGTGTGCTTTTCTGTCTTGTAAATAACAAATGAGAACTCTGTGTTGGAGGCAGTCAGCAATTCTATCATAACATGGCAACACATCTTTGTTTGTGGCTACAGAGAGAAGGGCATCTCGTGTTACCCTAAAAGGGAATGTTAATAAAAATGTCACTGCCCCAAAGCTGAAAATGTCCTTGATACAGAATATTGTATATTCAGTAATGTTTCAATGAATCATTGAGCAGAAGCTCATTAATTACTTTATTGGATGCCAAAATTTCTGGTTTTCAGACTTTCCTTTTTTTAAATTTGACCTGGAACAACTAGCGCTTTCTAATCTCCCAAGAGAACCTTTCACTTTGTTACCTGTACCAATTACATGCCACTGAAACTCAGAGAGACAACTGTTCAGTATTACAGCTGTGTTGTTACATTCAAGAATAGAGGCTGTGGAACACTTAATGCTTCTTGCATGTACAGTATATTGAAAAAACTCACTTCCCTACTGTGGTGTACACTGTGCACTTTATAAAAACTGCAATAATTCTGTTTATCTGTCAAAATATTTTTTATAACCTAAAATGGAGGCATGTTTACCCATCATGTCAGATTTTATGTAGGACCACAGCATTAAGGCCACACAAATGGATGTAGTGCTAAAACCTTTGCTGTCTCATAGCATTACGATCTATGGTGGTTGATTATCTGCTCTAAAGACAAAATGAAATGGGGGGGCTTTCATCACGTGGCTCTCTGGTATAGCTATTTGTTAGTAAACTAGTCCCAGTCTGTGATTCAGACGGGAAATGTGCAGTCAGTCTGTCAGACTCTTGGCATGCAATCCAGTCATGTGTCAGTACAACTGTTTGGCCACAGGGTGGCGTGGTTTCCATCTGCAAAGTCTCGATATCAGTCGGTGGGGCTCAGCAGCCAGTTGTTCAAAATGGCAGAAGGCACATTAAGGAAGGCTCAGAGGCCAAGAGGCACAGCATCAGGACAGTGTGTGTGTGTGTGTGTGTTAGATTTTCGGCCTCCAGCCCTGAATGAACTGTGTGATCTTGGTGACGTGGAGTCGGCTCAGGTGGAAGTCATGTGACAGGATGTCCTCAGTCAGCTGGACCAGGAGGCTACCGTCAATTCGCTCCCTCTGGAACACAGCCACCACTGCCTCTGATAGGCCAATGAACCGTAGGCATGCTGACACTTCCTCTAATGACAGTGCAGACAGGTCAGCAGGAGGCCGCCAGGTTGGGTCAGGAGGCGTGGACAACCCCTCAGTGATCCCTGCGGACATCCCACCGCCCTCTGCACCTCTGGAGGAATCTGTTGTAGGATTGGCAGTGGGCTCAGGCGATGGGCAGGGGGACTGGCGGTTGAAGGGGTTCAAGGCCCCAAAGGGGGCAAATCGACTCTGTGGCGGCGGAGGCCTGAGGCGCAGTCCGGGGGAGGTGAAGGAATCCACCCATGGCTCTGCCCAGGTGGCCTGTGCTGGCTGAGGATTGGCTGTGTTGTCTGCAGGGGTGGCAGGGACTGGCTCAGAACTGGCAGGGGTAGGAGCAGGGCAGTCCCCCCAAGAGCACGGGTAACAGTAGAGGGAAGCATCTGGAGAAGGTGAGCAGCTGGGACAGAGCAGGAGAAAGTGGCATTAGTTTCCACAATGAATCAGCATAAATCCCATGAGAAAGACAGAAATACACAATTTTAGAGGTGTAGTTTACAGGCAAGTTTATTCTCTAACAAGGCGTTTTCCAGTTAGTGTTTATTAATGATCTGCAGATCAAAAGACATTTAGATGTTTGGGTTAAAACTGTGGTAAACATGGTTGAAAAGTTTTATTTTTCAGTATTAATAATAAACCATTATTTGAATAGTATTTAAGTGATTATATTTCTGTGTCAAGCTGATTTTAACCACATGTTGAAACATGGTAATTAAAATACTGTTAATGCATTGATAATATGTCTGCTTTAAAATGCACGTAGGATGAGATATGGTGGCATCCTTTGATTAGGAAGCACTGGCTACTTAAGATCAGTTTGAGCTGGGAGAACGTCAAAATCTTCCTGTTGTGCTGTAAAGCACATTCAAAATAAAACTGTCGATAATTGTTTATTGATAACCCAAAGGCTCATATGTTGCATATTTGATTAACAACCAAACCTTTGTACTGTACCTGTCCTGAAGTCCAGAGGAGTAGAAGGAGAGGTTGGGTCTCGGGGAAGTGGAGGTTTTGGGAAAGCGAGGTGGGATAGGCGGGCTGGGGGCCGGACTGGAGATGGAGCCTCCTTTAGAGCAGCGAGGGGGGACTGGAGGGGCGATCAAATAGCGACACTCCTCTCTCACCTACATACAACACAGAGAAAAATTAGAGCTACGGCAGCAAAAGTTCTCTCCTAAAGCTTAACTTCTCAGGAGGCTTTACAGCCGTGTGTGTGCGCGCTGGCTTGTCTCAGTGTTTTCCTAGGTAAATGTCAAACTTTGGTGACCTTTACACCTCAAACAAACTCCCTCACAGGCAGTAGCAAGCTCTTCACACACACACACACACACACACACACACTTGTACTTCTGTCTTTGTGAAGACACTCATTGAAATAATGCATTCCCTAACCCTAATACTTAACCATCAGAACTAAATACCTAACACCTATCCCTTATCCTAAAACTAATTATAACTTGAACCCTAAAACCAAGTCTTAAGTCTAATGTGAGGATTGGCCACTTTCCAAAAATGTCCTCACTCTGTAGCAAAAAGAAAAAACAAAACTCTTTTTGGTCCTTACTATGCAGTAAGTACAAGAACGCAAACACACACATTCAGAGAGTGTCTTGGCAGGCTAAATATCGGGTAACGAAGACCGTTGTGTGTGACAGGGTCTAATCCAGCTACATAGGCTACACCTACAGCCTCTCTGCACTACTGCTACTGTAGCTGCCACCACTCTGAAAAAGTTAATTAAACAAAGCAAGTGTGATAATTATGAGTTTAGGAAGCTAGTGGAATATAGGATGTGACATTTGATTGATTATATAAAAAAACAGATGCATTTGAAATAAAAATTGGGGTCTAAACTCCATTAGTTCCATAATAACAGGCACTGTACCACCTGAAGAAATGTGGGACAAACAGGCAGTAACTGGTAAAACACACTGGAACTGAGATGTAAGTGCTACTGAGGCGTGATTCCATTCAGTCCACAATGAAAGCGAGATGTGAGCAGAGCATTCTGTGTGTTTCAAGACAAAAAGTCTTTACCAGACCAACCAACAAGACAAGTGGGCTGGAAAAAATAGTTTTCATGATCATCAGGAAGAAATGACATTTTCATGCAGCCTACGGATTTTGATTTGATTGATTTCCCCCAGCTCGTTACAGAGAGAGAAAGTGAAAGTGAAACTCAAGCACCCTGAACAGTCATACAGATTCCAGTAGAAACAGAAAACACTGGGATTTGTGTGATTTAAACAGTTGACTGTGGAGATTACAAACGCAGCAGAGGGAAAAAAAATAGACATGAAGCGTAAAAAACCACAAGGGCTCTAAGAGATATGCGTCTCACAGATTCAGTGTGGATTGATACATTTGATATGGCAACATGAGATGGGCATGAGGCACATTTTACCAGTAACAGCAACAGTCAACTTGGCTGAGCAGGCAAAAATCAAAGCGCCACCCTCGAACACTCCAAAAGAGAGGACCTAGCCTGTTTGACTGACAAGTGATTTTTGGATAGTGTAATACAAAGCAAATACAATAAACCAAATTTCTTGATTTGCACTTTTACAGTAACAATAAAAATAATGTGATAGCTTTAGTTTTCTTTGCTAGTCATCAGAAATGATAGACATTTGCTTTGTTGCCATTTTTAAAATCAATAATAATCTGATCATCATTCCTGAGACCACAGGTGTCATTAGTGTAATATTGTGGCTCTTTACCATCTATTGAATTTTTGTAGGCCAGCGTATACAACTACCAAGTATCTGTATCCTCAGTTATGACGTATATTTTCATGTGCTGTGAGCATATGGGCTGTGAGTTTATGGCAGCCTTTCCAGGAAATCTGTGTGGTCAGTGAGGTTTAAAAGCTGTATTCTATGAATAATTCAGGCCAGGCATCCTGACTTTTAACAACCGGATGCTGCCTGAGATAGATGACAGACAGAGGGATGAAATGAAGAGCAGGGGGTGAAGACTGAAACTCACAGCATCAGATTTTGGAGGTACAGGGGGCGGGGTAGACACTCTTGTCACCACGGTACCAAGAGAGCCATCCACTGAGGAAGACGAATGGAAGGAGATGAGGTTTGGCTCTTTTCCCAAGCCCTCTGCATTCTGATTGGTCCAGAGTTCCTCGTAAGGGATTTCCTCACTGGTCCTCATTTCAGCGTCAGTCCACTCAGGAGTCACGTACTCCCTCTCCTCACCTGGTCCCTCCCCCAGCCTGTCACCAATAGAGTCCCTGCAGCGCTGTGATAAGCTGTGTGAAACCCCACCTCCATACCCGCACATTGAGAGGCGTTGCAGTGCCGGTGCTAAAGAGTCCTGACCCGACACACACATGCGGGAGTGCTGCGGGCTCACACACTCCTCCGTCATACACTCTAGCTCTGGCCGGGTTTCTCTAACAGCACGAGAATAGGCATCTGGGTCAAATGCATGGCGCAGCAGAAGGTTCTCCAGAGCCGCTGTGTGGACGGAGGCCTCAGCCACATTAAACCGTGGCATGCAACGCAGCAGCAGGAAATGGGAAGGGGAGACCTCCTGTCGGCGGAGTACCAGGCAGAGCACCACCGTCTTGCTGACGATGTTGAGCAGTTTGTAGCGGTGGCCCTCTCGCACCGCATGACGGTCGTAGGGGTTTCGAGGTGGTCGTGAAGGTACGGACACATTGACAGGGAGGCGAACCCTCTCAATTATGCTGCGTACCGTGTGCTCCCCTCCCAGCATGCCTTGCTCCAGGGGGGAACGTGTGCAAAAGCGTCCACGACAGCCAAAAGGCAGGCTGATGCTCTGATTGGTGCGATGGTTCATACAGACAAGGCAGGGAGTTTTACCTGAGGAGGCAGTCACAGAAAGATGAATTAGCAGGGGGTCACAGAGTACCAGGATGTAGAACACCAAGATATAACAAAATACTGTTAAGCTGAATTTATAGCTGTGCATTTAGGGGTTTGGGCATACCTACAGAGGTGCACACTGCTGTAGGTGTCATGCTCCTAAAAAAGGTGTAACTACAGTGGAGCAAATAAGTAATTGATACACTGCCGATTTTTCAAGTTTTCCCACTTACAGAGAATGGACAGATCTGTAATTTTCATCGTAGGTACACCTCAACTGTGAGAGATGGAATCTACGAAAAAATTCCAGAAAATCACTGTTAGATTTTTAAATAATTTATTTCCATTTTATTGCATGAAATAAGCAATTTTAAAATAAAGTGCAAACAATTCCAGTGTACTACAAGTTCTGCCGAATGAGTAATGCCACTATCACTGCAACTCAGATGTTTGAGAAACATCAGAAGGACAACTCAAAGGGTTGCATGAACGCTCTGAATAGTCAGATTATTCCTACAGATACGTCGACTGTAACGAGAAGCGTCAGATCCTTACACAGCCAGCTGCAAGTGTCCAACCTACACTGACACAAATGTACTTGACAAGATGAAACGAGGAGTGGCACACGCTGACTGGTGACTGGGGATTAACTCTGTTTAGCTTGCAAAACAATTTATCATGGTTACCTTCTTAGTTGTGCAATTGCATTATCAGTTTCTACATGTTTTTATTTTACTTCATTTTGGGGGACTTTTGATGTCTAATCTCTGAGATAAGTCAGTGGTTCATTCTGGTTTTTTTTAGTCGCAGATGATAAACAACCCGCCACGTAATTTCTGTCACAGTATGATGACACTCTTTAGCAGAGTGCTTCATGTGTTTGCTATCTGAGAACAGAGAGAAACATACCCCTTGCATCAGTCATTATCCTGGGCGGGGCTTAGTTTATGTACTCCCTGAGTGAGTTCCTAAGAATTTTTGTAATGCTCATTGCCTATTTCCATATTCAAATACAGACCTAAATGATTGTACTTCACATGACAATTCATGCGTTGGTGCCCAAACTCTAAGACAACCATAGTTGCCATAAAATACACCTAAAATTGCATCATCTGTTCTTTGTAGATTGTACTGGCATTTGCCAAAATCCCATTGTACTGTATGTCTTATCCTTGGATATGTCTGTGAAGAAAAGGAACTGAATGTGTAAACAAAGTGAAATGATCCCAAATCACGAGTTACTGTATGAATACTTTAAATGTAGTGATGCTTTTGTCCAGCTTTGTGATTACGCTATTTACCCCCCCCCC